CATGATTTTCCCTGATGATCAATAACATTTTGAAATTTTTTTGTAAATTCGTCTTGATTTTTGGAAATCGTCAAATATATTTTACCGAGGGAGTTTAACGTAGCAATGTAAATTGCTATCCCTTCGTAAGCCCTCTGGGTCTTTTTTGTCCGCGGTTCAAATTTTTTTACTGTTTTAAACTGTTTTTTCAAAAAATGTAGAAAAATTTAGGATTGCTTTTCAATATCCGTTCTACATTGCCAAATAGTTATTTAACTTAAATATTAAAACTTTTATCTAATAAAAATTGAAATTCGTGCCAAAAAATTTGAAAGCGAAATTTCGTCATTGGCTCGAAAAAGAACCAGTGTATCTACAAAAGTATTAACGTTGCTGACATTGCTTGCATTTGAGTTAAATTAATACGCATATTAAACTTTTTCAAAGTCAAGAATATTTATTTTTCATAAAATTTTGTAAAAATGACTGATTTTTCCCTTATTTCTCTGTTTTTAATTTTTCTTACGTATATCCTCGATCTTTCCGAGTTCCAATTTTAGAGCAAGCCTGAAAATTAGAGCTATTCCTTATAATGTAACGCCCTAATTTCCTCATATTGAGTTGTTAAACACGAGAAATTCAAATTGTCTTTAAATTGTTGATTAAATATTAATTGCTCCTGCCGCAAAGAGGATAACCCGAGGCGGCGGCGGTTTAATTTCATTAAAATTTCCGGTATTACGGATCGAGCTCAAGTGGATTGCAAATATCTGAATCATATCAATATATACGCACTGTGAATACTGTGCATATATATAGACAGCTTTACATAGCGATGTTAACAAACGGATGCTAATAAGCGAGGCTGCATCTATATAGTTATATAGATTGCGTTCGTTCGAGGTACGCAAAGTATTCGAAATGTTAGACTATGTCTGTAGTACTTATTCGATAATCATCCGAAAGAAAGTTTCGATGCCAGTTGGCTTCAAGCACAAAGTATCGCTGACATTTCCGGAGCACGTAGCTATATACCAGAAGTTATAAAGCACGAGTCTTGATTCGAATAAAAATCACGCGAATACAACACGACATTTCAATACTACCTAATCCGGTCCCTTTTTTTTTTTTTTTCCAATGTAATCCCCTACTGTGTAAACAACGATCGTGTTGCAGACGATGCGGGGAAGGATACAGTGCGGAAGTTTGATCGATTCGCATTCAAGCCGGGGAAATTTCGGGGTGGATATTTGCGCAAGCTACCCCCTTCTGCATTCACTTTCCGAGCACGTTGCCGGTCCAGACGGGATTCTCGAAGGCGCAATCTCGCGAGGTCGTGTAATTTGTAACGCAACTTTTCGGTAACGGGGTCCAACAACTAATAAGAAGTTCTTTCGCGCCGACCGGTGTGCACGGCTGTACCTCCTATGGCGCCCTTTGATTTGGAGGGCACATGGCCACCCTTCTGCTGGTCGATAACCGCTCGGCAGACAACCATGTGATTCTGTCTCTTCCCTCTCTCTCTCTCTCTCTCTCTCTCTCTCTCTCTCTCTCTCTCTCTCTCTCTCTCTTTCAGTTTTGATACCCCTTTACCTTCCCTCAATACCTCTTACCTACAGCGACCCATGGGCGTCGGCAGAATTTTTCACGCGAACGATAAGATAACGATAGTAATAGTGTTGAGTGCAATAAATAAATAAAATGTATTTGTCATGTTTGATGAAAAAAAAAAAAAAAGATAGATACGTATACTTAGAAAAGCAATAGCGAGATATTATAGTCTTTTAATTATATGGAAAGAACAATTTTGCTGAAGTATCTATGAATTTAGCTTATCAGATATGCAGATCTGAAAATAATTTTGTCGGACTATAAATAATTAAGTAAGAATCTGAAGCATGATGAGCTGCCAAAAATTCTGATATTTTAGCAACCAGCTTAAGCGATTTACGTAATTACACTTTGATGGTTCAACAAAATTATTTTCAGATTATATTTAACTTAGCAAAACCGTTTTTTTTTCCAGGAAAAAAAAGGGATTTATATATTTTAAAATTAAATAAAGTCGAAACAAAATTGCCGTCATTTTTAATATATTTTTTTTTAATTTAAAAAGAGATTTTTCAGTTTGTCTTCTTTCAAAAAATGCGAGAGAAAAAGAGATTTCTTCTTACTTTACTTTATCAAGATTTTTTCCACACACACAGGAAAAAAAGGGTTTTATATATTTTAAAATTTCAATAAAGTCGAAACAAAATTGCCGTCATTTTTAATATATTTTTTTTAATTTAAAAAGAGATTTTTCAGCTTGTCTTCTTTCAAAAAACGCGAGAAGAAGAGATTTCTTCTTACTTTACTTTATCAAGATTTGATGGAAAAACGATAAATTTTTTGCATCAATTTAAGTACACACGTATATATAATAATCGTGTGATGTAACCATACGTGTAACTCGCAATGAAGTCACGAATCGTACGAACTAAGTGAGGATAATTAGCGGTAGCAACGTAATAATTAAGTAAAACGTGCAATAACGTGGAGTGCGAGACGGCAATTCACCGAAGAAAACGGGGGTAATGGGTAGGGCGGATGTTAACGCATCAGGGTACTTGAATAGGAGAAACTTCGGTATGCTTGAATAGCAGGAACTTCGTTTAAACACGTTTATGCGCGTTATCGATTAGAGCACCTGCGGTCTGTCTAACAAAATAGTGCCTTTTAATGAAACTTTTCTTCACTCCTCGCCTTGATCGCGGAGAAGGGGTTGCTGCAAGGTGCATCCCCTTGGATTCCGCTCACGGCGCCCATGTGTCTCCCTATCTTCTCGTTTCCTCCTACTCACACACTCTCTCTCTTTCTCTCTCTCTCTCTCTCTCTCTCTCTTTCACTGCCATTCTCCATCCATTTCCGTCCGTCCTACCTCCGTCGTTATATTGATCGTGACTTATAATACTAACGTATGATGTATAATATTGTAAATCGGATATCTTGCCTGCTATCTCTCGACAGAAGCTTTCTATGACCGATCTCTCACGGGAGGGACGCAATGTGAAGATTACGTGGGATTATCAATAAGGAACAGTTGGCATAGTGCCCGCAAACGTGTACTCGGATAAGCTAACTTCCGATCGATCAAGGTCGTGGTCGATTGCATCTGTCCGACCGAACCGTTCGATCGAACGTCACCACTGCGTTTTTCTTCACGTCGTTATCTCTTCTATGGAAGAAAAAAGAATACCATAAACTGATACCATATACCGATAAACGTATTGAATCACGTTAAATGATATACTTATCAAAATACCTTTTTACGATGCCAAGGTCTACAGATTGATGATGATATAATACGCTTTGTACATTGTAGATCAGGCTATATTGCATGTATTTTTGTAATTCAATTCGTTCAATCCAATCCAATTACCCTTCAATACCCATCGCGCCCGAATACGTGGGTTCGTTCTTACGTAACGCCTGTAATTTCCTGGGGGAATTCTTTCTTCAGATTTCCACGACCTACTCTACTATTTATCGCAAAGGAAAAACGATCAATCTCTACTTTTCGCTAATTGCGATTATAGAGAGAGCTTCTCACTCGCCTCTCATCTAACTTTCCCTTATCTATCCCTCCCCTCTGCCCCCTCCCCCATAAATCTTTAGTTCAAATGAACCAAATGGCGATTTATTCGTTCTCCTTAGGACACCTCGACCGATGTCCTTACCGGCGCTCTCCAGGAGTTTCCGATAAGTTAAGCCGACTAAATACATTTCCACTTCCTTTATTGACCTTCCGGTATCATCCACCCCCGGCAACCCCACTCTCAGTAATCGGCACCACGTAAAGGTAGCGCTACGGTCGCGGTTGAAGACCATTCACCATCGCAAACGGATTTGGATGGATATTAAGGGTTATTCCAAATGGTTGGTACCGAACGCGATTGCCAAACACGCCGGTTGTCATTCTGTCGATTCCCATATCGAATCTCGTTCTCCCAGGTTTGAGATATCTAGCTGGGACAATTCGCTCTTGGAAACTGTGGTTGAGGTTAAGCCATCGGATCATTAATCCAAATTAATCCCGGCAATCTGTCAGAGTAATCAACCTTGAAACGCAAGACGTTGGCGCGCATCTATCTACCCTTAATAACGTTTCTCTTAAGAGGCTTTTTCGCGCGAGAAGATATACGAGTTTCTACCTAAATTATGGAATATATACTGCTAAATAATACAACCGTACGAGTCTAGCGCTGCAATGTAACGTGCAACATCGCGCGAATACGTTGTAAATAATTAAGACTCAATGTTGAACTTTGCGAAGAATTAAATGTGACATGGCCTGCGAAACAATATCGAGCACAACATGCACATCTGCATTTAGCGAGACGTGAATACCGTGCTCTGTCTCTGGGAAATGCAGCGCGCGAATCCGTCAGTCTCTCCGCGCGGGTTAATCGCGAGCAGATGTTCCTCAGCTTAACCCGCATTCAGCGTCGCATCCACTCGCCTAGCAAATGACACGCACCCTCGTGCATATGGTAAAATCGCGAATCATAAAATAGGGCATTTCCGATGAGAAAAGATAGAACACCGCGGTAAGAGTCTAGACACAATGCAAAGTACAGGGGAGTACAGAGGCGATAAGAACAGGGAGAATAACAGAGATGTCCCACTACAATTCTCCCAGGGACGTTTTAATACCATATCCAAAGAACGTACAGTACATCCTAATAATGACGTTCTCAGAACATTCCTTGAATAAGGTGTGCTGTATGAGTTCAGTCTATCAATATCCGATAAAAAAGGATTCTAGTAGATTGTAATCTATTACTCCCTCTGTGCTCCTCATTTCGTCCAGATCCTCTGAGAGAGATGATAGAGTCACGGGGGTGTTTGTCTCAGGGAGCTTCGCCTCTGGCTCAGTCTGGCTCAGTGCGGATGAATTCTTGTGTCGCGTCTCGGTGAATTTTCGCTTTCCGTGGCATGGAAACTTATCTATACAACGACAACGGCATTGCAGTACTCACCATAGTAACGGGGGTGTCCGTTCGCTGACCGCTTTTCGCCGTCGAGCCAGCCCGTCGATCGGCTACCGCGACAGCCACCACACTGCGGAGGAAGGCGCACTGCTAGGGGAACGCTACTACTGCCTGCTGCTGCTGCTGCTATCGCGGCCACCGCTGCTGCTGTTGCTGGTGCGTCCTGAAAAAGCGGGAGGGGGCAAATCCACCGTCGTTCCATGCTGCGGCATGCGAAATTCGCGCATGTACCCTGGATGGCAAAGGCGCCGAGCCGCGCCGCGCAGCCCGACTAGATATATATATATATATGTGTGTGATCGCGTACACACGCATATACACAACGCGCGCGCACGCCCGACATTTCGGCCGGCCCGTTCGCCGCGGCTGCAGGCTGATCGAAAGAGCTGCTGCTCTGACCCTTCGTCCGCTTACGGACGCTCGCTACCTTAGCCCTTTAGTATACCTAGTTCCGTATACACGGGGGTGTTCCATTAGAACTCCACGGTTAATCCTTCCTGCATTACTGCAAATCCCGTAGCAACACGCGGACGCAATTAGAAAATTGTATTCTTGAAGTCTCTACGTGGAAAGGATGATTTTGCTGTTTATTTCAACAGAATTGTTCTCAGATGGCATTTATCTAAGAGTTTAGCTAGATACTGATCTGAAAGTAATTACGTAGGACACTCAAACTGGTTACTAGAATATGTCCAAATTTTTCACTGTATTGCTCGTCTAGTTTGAAATTTCTGCATAATTATTTTGATGGTTCAACGAAATCAATCAGGTTTGTAAATTTTTAGCTAAATTTTTAGATAGTTCAAGTAAAAGCTTTCTATCTACGTATATCACGAAATTCTTTTACAAAAGAAAAAATACAGAAATTAATTGTGCAATGCAAGCAAGAATTTTTCGTTTCTGGATCGCTAAAAAAATTGATTCGTTACGAGATTGGTTTGAGATCTCTTATTGAAAAAGAGGCGATTTAAAAAAAACGGTTTGAATAATTCCTTTTGCTTGGAAAAATCAATTGTTCGCAAAAAAAAATCGATTTAAAATCGCCCTTTCCGTTTGGAAAATTTACATTTTAATTTTCTTTTAAAGTCAGAACATCTCTTAAAAAGCTGCGTTTTGAAAGAATATGGAAGTATTATAGAATGATTGTTAGAATCAGGATATGAAAAGCTTAAGACCGATCTATTCGTCATCGATCATTTCGCAGAAAAGAGATAGCATCTGAATAATATAAGAGATGAATACAGGTCTCGATACATACATTTATTGTCTCGTATATTGGTTTTCCGACCGGTAGGCACATGACCCTCCAAATACAATTAAGTGTATTTTGCACGTAAATCAATACGTTAGTATTGCATCGCTGGTCACCGCAAGCAAAGTGTACTTTAGACGATTTGTAATTCGTTTCAGGTGTCAGGATAGAATTCTAGCATTCACTGTTTCATGTTATTTTATGTTGTTTATTTTATGATACATATACGTTTGTTTATTTTATAATGTACACTCTATATTTGTTTGTATATATATTTATTAGCAGAGAAAAGCGTTTATATTCATATTATTTCATGAAATGCATCTTTTATTCTTTTTTATTTTACTCTACCGTTATAATCGAAAAAATTTATATTCTCTCTCAATACATCAGCATCGATCATTCAAATATCGACTTGTTGAAAAAGAACAATGGTTTATTTTTAGAGCATTCTTCTTCCTGTAAAGGACAAGTTGGAGTACCTTGTTCAATAAAAGAATAAACTTTATATACGAAAAAATATATATGGTATTATAACAAACTGTGTTATAATGTTTTTGAATATTTTTTGAATACTGTATTTTGAATATTTTATACACCTACATATATTTTAAAATATTATATTTTTGTGTGTATACGTCGCATTTTGAGTTTTCATTTGCTACAATAATATAACACGACTGAAAAAATCAAGTTTTCCAGAAAATAAATTTGAAATTATTAAAATAATATTAACTTTAAAATGCAATATATTTTGATATAACAACTGATTGTAGAAGAATAAAATAATATTCTTTTGAAATACGCGTTTTTTCTTTATATATATTTCCATACATTTTTTTGCATGCAATTAAAAAGTAACAATTTTTTAGTTAATGTAACAAATGAGCAACGAAATGCTGCTTGCATTGCGTGGTATACAAGATTGCAAATAGAATTTTATTCTGAATTTCGTTACGAATTATATATTGGCTGAATCAGGTTTCAGGCACTCCGGAAAATATCGAGCAGATCGGTGGCATGCCGAATAAGGATCGTTGATGGTCCTTTGGATCGTACTTGTTCTAAGCGTCGTGCGGTCGAGAGAGGTTGAGATTCGGTGAGGTTCAGATTCGAATACCACCGTTTCAATCTTCAATAAGCTGACTGAGCGAGGCGCAACGCGACCGCGTTTAGAAAGTTGCTTTGATCGGTCGAGCGTGCACGAGCCCCGCGATTTTCGACGCTTATCAACGCGATACGCATGTAGCAGTGAGGCGGATGCGACGATAACGGAGCTCAATTCATCCAGTGTTATCGCCATAGCACGAACGAAGATAATATCATTGCATTGAATTCATCTTTTGTATTTCGCGATTCATATACATACACATCTATATCTGCTGCCTATTCTTATGGAATATCGCGATGTATCTTTCGTGCTCGTTTCACAACGTACATTATTAATTTTAATCTCAGTACAATTTACTCTTGTGCCCGTTTCTAGCGATGTAGATTAAGCTCAATATTAGTTCAAAATTTACTTTTATTTACTTTTTATCTTTTTCTACTTCTAAGAAAAAATTGTAAAATTCGAGGATTGCGCGCGCTAATTTCAACAATAAGATTAGAAATTCGAAGAATTAGAAAAAGATAAAAAATAAAGCTTTTTCTAATTCTAGAAGAGTAAATTAATCAAGATTAAAATTAATCTTACGTTGGAATAGAACCGGGCTTAAGTAATTAATCCAGATAAAGGTATCTCTTGTCTGTGCGCACAGGATCGCGCTTGTTTCTCATTTCTCTGGACATTTCAGTTTGGAATAGAGATTCTAATTTCGCGAAAGTTTTAGATTAAAGGGCTGATGATTTACTTTGAAAGCTTTGACATTCGAATTTCGAAACTTCAAACATTCGAAGCTTTCGGCATTAAAATCTTTGAAAATCGAAGTTTCGAAACTTTGATACTTCAATCTTTGAAGCTTCAAAGAGTTAGATTATACAATTATTAATTTAATATAGTTAATAATAACGAATATATTTTAATAAAAGGAAAATACGAACATATTTACATTAAAATCTTCGAGGATCAAAGTTTTGAAGATTCGAAACTTTGATACTTTAATCTTTGGAAATCTTCAAATTAAAATTATATTAAAAGTATAATGAAACTCGACAATTAAAAATTATAGAAATTAAATGGGCTGAGTCTAAGCTAGGAGGTTGAGATGTTTTTTTGATATAAATAAAATGTAAAATATATGAATATAAATTAAAAAGACAAATTAAGAGTCAAACATTAAAAATTTCTTTAATCACATAGTAAAAAGATAAAATTAATTAATATAAATTAACATGAAAAACAAGACTAAATACGAAAGTATAAAAATATATACATAAATATGAAAAAACAAGAACGAACTTAATACAAAAATAAAAAAGGCTTAATCAAACTTTACATGTTTCGACTCATGGATTGAATCTTCTTCAGAAGTAACAAAACGAAAAAACATCGTATAGATAAATCATTGGTGAAATAATGATGCATCCGACATCAAGGTAGAATATATGTATTTTATATGTTTAAATGTTGTTTAAACTGATGATGACTCAATGAAGGTAGAAACGTTTGTAATTTTTGTATTTTATATTTTATTATATTAAATATCATCTCGCATCCTTAGATAGTCTATTTAATTTCTATCTTCAAATTAATATTTATAATTACATCTAAAAGAAAAACTAATTATATAATCATTAATTAATTTAATATAATTAATATTAACGAATTATCAAGAATGAAGAAAGATACGGCGATAACCCGCAAACCTTCTGGTATAATTAAAGATAATATCCGTGAAAGCCTCAAATGCGTAATATTAACGAATATATTTTCGTAAAAAAATATGCAAACATATTTACAAATATTTATTACGAATATATTTTTACTTTTTTTTTTATTCACATATAAATAGCTTCAAAGTACAGTCTTAAAATGTTATAAACTAATCACAAACCGGTATTTATAATAGATTTTTATATTTGAGACTGTACTTAAGACAATCTTAAATATATATAGTGAACCGTATTATCAAGTCGTTTACGTAAGACAGTCTTAAAATAAAAACTAACCATAAATCAGCTAGAATTGTATTAGTCTTTTTAAGACTTAAAATAATTTTGAAATAAAAATAGACCACGTTAGTATATTTATAATTAGTTCTTATATTTAAGACTATCCTAAGTGACGTCTACAATGATATTTTAAAAACGTAAAATTTAATCTTTGTCATAAAAAATTGACCGATCATAGTCGATTGTTCTCCACACAAGTCCATTAGGAATACCATCTTACGAATACTGGCTTATTATTGTGATCAATGATTAGCAAAACTGGCGGGAATCTCTTCGTTCGAACGCCAATACCGGCAACAATGGTGGCGGCTGGTCAGCGACGCTGACAGCGAATTTGCACATCTACGTATCCGATGAGCCCAGGGTGGAAATGGCGGGGGCGGTGGCGACGGCGCCGTGGAATATTCTCGCGGGGCGTCCGGGGAACGAACGGGACGAAACGGGGCGCCGCGCCGGAGCAAGCGAGGAGGCGAGAATCGGCGCGATTTCGCAGCGCAGCGCAGCGACGGCCCTGGCCGGGGGTTGGTCTCTCTCTCTCTCTCTCTTTTCTGTCCGAGGAGGTGTCGTACGTAACTCGCGGTAACGACGGCGGCAGCGGCGGCTTTTGTTTCTCACGCGAGTGCTGCGGCAGGCGCGAAGAGTGGAGCGGCGGCGTAACGTAGAGTAGAACGTTACACGAGAGCCACCGGCAGAAGTAGAAGAGGAGTAGGAGCAGCGGAACAAAAGAAAGAGAGAGACAGAAGAGGGGAAGGGGACGGAAA